GTAAGAACTCCCCCCTCCTTGCCCCATGGACGTTGACAACTTGCCGAACCACGTAAAATTTGTTGTCTTACTGTGATTATGATTTATGCTTGTGTTTAGTTGTGATCTACCTCGTTCTTATTCATATGATTTGAGTTCCGCTTCGCATAACAAGTGGTATCAGAGCTACAGGTTTGGCTTGGAGCTTGTTCGAATGATTCGCTAAAGGATTTCTATTTGAGGAGTTAAATCAACAACATGGGAGATGCAAGCACATCAGATTCGTCTCTTACGAAGGCAATACAGAGTCTGAGCATCAATAATACTGTTTGGTGGAAAATTTGCAATAAGAAAATGAAAGAATTGAATTTGATTTTATTCTCTCTAACTACTTAGAAAAAGAATATTTACAACTCTCTCAATCTCGATTACAATTTGAATTCCCGATTACAAAAGTGAAGAAAATCGACGGAGATCCTCCCCTTTGTTTAATTCTAGGTTCTTCACGGTGGCGATGAGATGCATACCTTGATGTTCGTATTGAGTTTGCTTCTCATTGACGATCCGACGTTTTACCTTGCTAGAATAAGGTTTCTTCCTCTTGATTGATGTAGAGGAGGACTTGCGTGGCAAGTTTGAAACTCTGAACGAGTTAAAGAACTCTGAGCGAGTTTAAACTCTTGAAAAAGAGTTGATTTGAACTGAAAATCAGTAAATAAGCCAAGGGTGAAAGCCCCTTGATCTCGGTTGCTGAAGAATGCTCCCAGATAGCTTCCAGATCGGATGATTGAAGAAGCCCTTTGCTGATCTCTAGATCCGAAATTGCTCCAAAGATCCAAATATCCCAAAAAGATCCAAGATCCCAACTAAGCTAATTTTTTAGCTATTTATAGGCGATTAAGGGGTGTAACCGCCCCTAAAATTGCTTCTTTTTAGGACTTATGGGATATAACTGCCCCTTAAATCACTCCTGAGTGGAGTTGTGATCCCCTCAGATCGTGAAAAATAGTTTTGAAACCGTTCAGTTCGTGTTTGAATGAGTCAAACGTAAGAATTGTATTCTGGCATGAATTCTACATTCAAACGCAACGTCTAGAAGCCCGGACGTAGTGTTTGGAAGCTCGTTTGTAGCGTATGGAAGCTACGTTTGTAGCGTCTGGAAGCTACGTTGGCAGCTTGTTAGAACCTGCATTGGTAGCATTTAAGAGCTGTGTTTGGCAACGGATGGAAGCTGCGTTGGCAGCTTTTGAAGGCTGCGTTTGCGGCCGAACATGAGCTACGGTGGCAGTTAGATCTGAGTTGTATTTGCAGCGTTTAGAGCTGAATGTGAGCTGTGTTTGTACTATGTTAGCGGCTGTGAACGCGGTGCGTCTTGATGCTGGTACGCGAGGTGGACCTTCGCGTCTTGATGCTGAAACGCGGGGAGGACTTCCGCCTATTGATTTGAGGAGACCATCAATTTGTAGTCTCTTTTTATTAGAGCATTGCAAAGATTATCCTTTTGTAATATTTGTTTTATCTCTTTGATATGTGAGAGTCGTCAGGTTGTAACTCTCACTGTTGATTATGAATATTATTGATCAGAGCTTTCATCGATTATTGTGAAGATCATTAGATTGTAACATTCATCGATCTATGTGAAAGTCTTAAAATTGTAGTCTTCTGAAAGCCATCAAATTATAGCTTTAATCATCGGTGTTTGATGGGGATCAGCTATCTGTAGTAATTTTTAGACAGGCTACAAATACGAAGATTGATGTTCTAAAGTTTGATGGCAAAATCAATTTCAGTTTGTGAAGGTGCCAGGTGATGGATGCATTGAATGCATAGAATTTGAAAGAGACTCTTGAGTTACAAGAGAGACCAGCTGATATGGAGGATAAGGTTTGAAAAAAGATGAATAGTAGGGCTCGTGGAGTTATTCGGTCATGCTTGATGCCGGATCTTATTTATGACGTGATGAATGAGACGTTAGCGAAGAGATTGTGGGAAATGCTCAATGAGAAGTATCTTACAAAGAGCATTAAGAATGAGCTTCACTTGAAGAAGAGGTTTTACCGATTTAAGATGAAGAGGGGAGTTTCCATTAGGGAGCATGTCAACAACTTCACAAAGTTACTTTCAGATATGGCCAATGTGGACATCATGGTTGAGGATGAAGATAAGACGATGCTACTTTTGTGTTTGTTACCAGAGGATGATTATGGTACATTCGTTCTCACTATGATCAATGGAAGAACTACTGTTAGCTATAAGGAGGTGACCTCAGTATTGATGAATTATGAGTTGAAGAAGAGTGATGGTGAACCCTCCAAGAAGGCATCGGGAGATGCATTAACAATTCGAGGCTGTAGTCAAAACCGTTGCCAAATCAACAGCTCAAAATCGAAGAATAGAGGTGGCTATAAGAGTATTAGTAGAAATCAATATCATTTTTGTAAAGAAGATGGATATTGGAAGATTGACTGCCAAAGTTGAAAGATAAAGCCGAGAAGAATAAGAGGAAAGCTGTACAAACTTCAGAAGTGAATGTTACAAAAGTTGTTGGTGAATATTCAGATCCAGATTCTTTAGGCTATTCGTATTCTGCACTACCGTCGGTTTGCTATACTGACTCCACGGAGTGGATGTTGGATTCAGGATCCACATATCATATTTGCCCGAGGAGGGATTAATTTTCTAGCTTTGAGGAGCTGGAAAGAGGGAATATCGTGCTTATGGGTAATGATCATGTATGTCCTATTGGTGATATTGGTTCTGTCCGGATTAGGATGCATGACGGTGTGGTTAGGGAGTTGAAAGAAGTGACGTTTGTGTCGTAGTTGATGAAGAACATTATTTCTCTTGGTACTTTGGAGGCAGATATTACTAGGTAACCTTACAGGATGCTACTGTGAGGGTCACGAAGGGTTCGATGGTGGTGATGCGAGGAGTCAGGGAAAACTTCCTATACTACTTGAAGGGCAAGATAGTTACAAGGGGTCTGGCAGCTTATATCACTACAGAGGAGGACACTACCACCTTATGGCACTTGAGACTTAGACACACATGTGATAAGTCCCTACATTCATTGGTGAAACATGGGCTATTGAAAGGTGCTAAGACCTGTAAGATGGAGCTGTGTGAGCATTGTGTACTTGGGAAGAAGACTTGGGCTATTGAAAGGTGCTAAGACCTGTAAGATGGAGCTGTGTGAGCATTGTGTACTTGGGAAGAAGACTAGAGTGAAGTTTGGCACCGCTATCCTGTAAGATGGAGCTGTGTGAGCATTGTGTACTTGGGAAGAAGACTAGAGTGAAGTTTGGCACCGCTATTCACAACACCCAATGTATATTGGATTATATTCACATAATTATTTGGGGTACTTCCAAGAATACATTACTTGGTGGGGCCAACTATTTTGTCACTTTCATTGATGACTATTCCAAGAGGAATTGGGTATACCCTATGAAGTATAAATATGAGTTCATGGATTTTTTGTGGAGTGAAAGAAAAAAGTGGAGCTGTAGATAGGTAGAAAGGTAAAGACTTTTTGTTCAGATAATGGTGGAGAGTACAAGAGTGATCCATTTCTACAGTTTTACCATGATCATAGTATTAGGTGATACTTCATAGTTCAAGAGACGCTGTAACAGAACGGGGTGGCTTTGAGATTGAACCGTACCTTGCTGGAGAAGATGTGATGTATGATGATATAGAGTGGATTGCCTAGATCCTTTTGGGTCGAGGTATTAGTTTATGTGAGCTATCTTATGAACAGGTTGTCGTCCACTGTGATACAGGGGAAGACTCCTATGGAACGTTGTTCTGGTTCGGTGTCTAGTGATTATGAGTCGCTTTGAATATTTGGGTGTCCTGTTTATTATCATATCAATGATGATAAATTAAATCCGAGGATGAGAAAAGCAGTGTTTGTGGGATTTAGAGAATGTGTCAAATGCTTCAAGTTATAGGATCCACAGGACAAGAAGATAGTCATTAGCAGAGATGACACATTTGATGAGGTGTACATGATGAGGCCTCAAGTTCCTTAGCAAGTGAAGGAAGTCTATATTCGAGAGATATCACAGTAGGTAGAGGATGATGTGACTCCACCCACTCCCGAAAGCATTGTCTCCATTGAGGGTCCTACAGAGATAACACTGGGAGGAGATGGGATGACAAACGAGCATATAGAGGATATAGTGGATGGTGAGACTCATGAGCAGGATCATGTTCAGGAGTCCATTGTAGCAAATAGACCTAGAAGGGTGATTCGTCGGCTAACTAGATATAATTATGTCATGATCGCATATGCATTATCAGTAGAGGTCGTTGATGATATGGTTTCTTCTACAATCAGGGAGGTAGAGTCTAGCTCTGATTCGATTAGGTAGAGGGAAGCTATGAAGAAGGAAATGTGGTCTCTTTAGAAGAACGACACTTAGGAACTTACAAAGCTACCTAAGGGTAAGAAAGCTATTGGTTGCAAGTGGGTATATGCGAAGAAAGAGGGATCTTCTATTAAGGATATTAGGTACAAAACCAGATTGATTGCTAAGGGATGTGCACAGCTGGAGGGTGTTGATTACAACAAGATATTTTCACCTGTTATACGTGAAGCATTCATCGGCATTGGTGGCACAGCTGGATTTAGATTTGGTCCAGATGAATGTTAAGATAGCCTTTCTATACGAAGATTTAGATGAGGAGATCTACATGACACAATCATTGGGATTCAAAGCTGCAGGAAAAGAAGATTTAGTGTGTAAGCTGAAGAAGTCTCTTTACGGTTTGAAGCAATCGCTATGATAGTAGTATAAGAGATTCGACAACTTCATGATTGGTCAGGGGTACACAAGGAGCCCATATGACCCATGTGTTTATATGCACAAGCTACAGGATGGTGAGTACATATATTTACTATTATATGTTGATGATATGCTTATTGCTTCTAGAAATTCTTCGGCTATTCAAAAGTTGAAAGAGGAGCTGTCATCCAAGTTTGAGATGAAGGATCTTGGAGAAGCTAAGAAGATATTATGTATGAAGATCGAGAGAGACAGGATGAAGGAAGATTGAATATTACACAAAAGAGCTACTTACAGAAGATATTGAAGAAATTCAGCTTTGATGGTAATGCAAAAGAAGTTAGCACTCCATTGGCTCTCCACTTCAAGCTTTTAGCTTTGATGTTACCTATTTTAGTTGAGGATAGAGATTACATGTCAAAGGTTCTATATGCCAATACGATAGATAGCTTGATGTATACGATGGTGTGTACGAGGTAAAATTTGTCACAGGCTGTGAGCATGGTATTGAGGTACATGCACGACCCCGGGAAGGGTCATTGGGAGGCCGTGAAGTGGATTCTACGGTATGTTAAAGACACCATGGATGTTGGCTTGATTTTTCAGAAAGATAAGAAGAACGGGCATGATTGTATTGGCTACGTAGATTTAGATTATACGGGGGATCTTGACAAGAGCCTGTCTACTTCAGTTTATGTGTTTACATTGGCAGGAGTATTGGTATGTTAGAGATGTACACTTCAATCTACAATGGCTCTCTCTACTACAGAGGTAGAGTATATGGCACTAACTGAAGCTGTTAAGAAGGCTTTGTGGTTGCATGGATTGTTAGAGGACTTGGGGATTACACAGGAGACCCTTCGGGTATATTGTGATAGCATGTTGGCTATCTATTTGATAAAAAACTAGGTTTATCATGCACGTACGAAGCATATTGATATCAGATTCTATTTTGTTCGTGACATTTTGGATGATGAAGATGTCATATTGGAGAAGATCCACATGAAGGACAACCTTGCGGATATGTTGACCAAAGTTGTTTCACGTGTGAAATTTGGTCATTGTTTAAAGCTATTAAATATTCTTCAATATTGAGGGCCTTTGGAAGCCATTTGGGTGAACTACGTTCGGATTGATTCCTTTGGTAAGAGGATATGTAGGCAGTCTTTTCGATGCAGCCGGTTGGGTTTGTTGATTTCGATGGGGGAAGATTGTTTGAGCTCTCTTTTGGGTTTTCGACTTGCTGTGGATTGAGTCTGCTGTCGTGAGTTGTTTCCACTTTATCCTGGATACAACAAGTGAGACATTTGGATGATTTGGTATCGGCTCAGTTTTTGGAAGAAACTTCACCGAGGTAGAGAATTATAGAAATGGCGAACACAGTGATGAAGACTGCAGGAAAAGACGAAGAACATGATTTGGGTGACTGGCGGTTGATCGCGGGTGACACGACGGTCAACCGGAAACATGCACGCAATAGGGAAATGCCTCTGGACTTTTAGCGGTCGACCGCGATGGGTTCTACGGTCGGCCGCGCCTAAACCCTGTAGGTGATTTGGTCTCTGGACTTTTGGTGGTCGACCGCGAGATGAGCTCGACGGTCGACTGCGTAGCGGGTTTGGGCCAGAATCTGTTTTCTTGGCCGTTTCGTTTTGAGTTGATATATATTCCTAATCCTAATTAATTAGGGTTAAGCAAGGATGTTTTGAGCAGTCTTTCGTTTTGAGTTGATATATATTCCTAATCCTAATTAATTAGGGTTAAGCAAGGATGTTTTGAGCAGTCTTTGAGAGAGGATTGTTGCATCCAATTGTGGCTAATTAATTAGGGTTAAGCAAGGATGTTTTGAGCAGTCTTTGAGAGAGGATTGTTGCATCCAATTGTGGGAGATTGGTGAGAGATTTAGAGAGCTTTGTTTTAGGGTTTTGAGTGATTTTGTAACCCTATTTTGTATGTTCTTCATCTCTAATAGTAAGAACTTCCCCCTCCTTGCCTCGTGGACGTAGGCAACTTGCCGAACCACGTAAAATTTTTTGTCTTGCTGTGATTGTGATTTGTGCTTGTGTTTAGTTGTGATCTACCTCGTTCGTGTTCGTGTGATTTGGGTTCCACTGCGCACAACAAGTTTGACCTATAAAAGCACTTCATGCTTCTCTTCTCCGCGATTATTACCCAAAAATAAAACAAATCAAAATAAAATAAAAATATTCTCGATTTGTTTCCTATTAATCTTTGACTCTATCACGAGTCAATTTCCTTTTACAGACCCAACTTGATTACTTGAATAGATATTTCATTATACTTTACCAATTTTCTCATTTTGCAGAAATTTGTTTCCGTATGGCCAAGAGCCTAACATCAATTGTATAGCATATTTATTCTTATATTTGTGTTGACCGTAATATTTCGTTAACAATTTTCTTCTCCAAAAAAGCTAACCAATTTTAAAAACTATACATGGATTTTTATCGTCGTGTATCAAGAGAAACAAATTAAAAATCTTTTTATCAGAAAAAAAGGGGGGAAATCTTCTTAAAAAAGAAGAAAAGAAATACGTACGTGGACGTAGTTATTTGGAGTGACTGGGAGTAAAGAGAATCGAAGCAAATCAATCAAATATATAATAGGAGCTTTGAGGGAGATTACGCAATAAAACTTTCAGAAACAGTGTATCTACCAAGCATTAGCAAATGAGAAAGATATTCAATCTTACATAAATAGCAATATTATACTAGGAAAGTAAATACCAAATTGGTAGTTTTGCATGCTAATATAAAAATTGATTGATATTCAATCATCATAAATAAATAGCTCGAGGCCTTTCATTTTCTTCTCTCCCTCAAGTACTAGAGGCCAATCCTATGAGGCTTCTCTTTTCCATTTCTTTGCTCTTCCTCTTTACTTCTTTCTGTAATGGAGCTGTACAAGTTGCAAAGACAATAACGGTTGATGTCGTTGGTAACGGTAACTTTAAGAAAATTCAAGATGCCATCGATTCAGTTCCAAGTGGTAATAACAAATGGACACGGATACATATAGGAGCTGGTGTATACAGGTAATTGTATGTTACCTAAACTCTTTTTGATGTAACATGAACGTTTGTTAATTTAAAGAAAAATATCAATAGTTTAATGTTTTATTTTGTAGGGAGAAGGTGGATATACCTGTTGAGAAAGGATTTATACTGCTTGAAGGCGATGGAGCGTCTCAAACATCCGTAGAATGGAGTGATTTCGCACCTATGTCCGATCCAGATGACAACGGAAACAAAGTGGCAAACACTGCAACCGTCTCCATTGCAGCGGTTAATTTCGTTGCAAAAGGAATTACTTTCAAGGTTCTCTACTAAAGACCTAGATAAAATATTGTCTTCAAAACAATCATTAGTTAGATATCTAATAAATTTCAAAAATAAAACATTTATAATTGTAGAGTATAAATTAAGTTATAATTAATTCTCAACCCTGCGTCACGACGAAGATTTTGATACGGTGATGGTATTAGAGTAAGCAATCCTAGCCTGGGTTTTTAGAGCCAAAATCGAGTTAAGAGAAACTAAGCCACAATTGGCCTACTTTTCCTTAAGCACACAAGGCACTAAAACTGGACAAGATCTATCCTGGCTCACATTTAGTGTGTTGCACAAGTTATGATGATTGTTCAGTGTTATAGTTCTATGTTCTATATGTCTCCATATGTTTAGAATCTTAAAGGCCAAAATCTAGATTATTAGCTATGCTTTCACAAATACATCTGATTGAACCTGTCTTGTTTAGCATTTTAATCAAACTAACAGAGCATACATCAACCTTGGCACAAGGCTAAGAGCAACTTTGATCCTAGTAACTACATTATATTTCTATAAATAACTAATAATTTGGGTAATATATTGCTTGGATTCTACTCAATTACCAATTCTAGACGAGAGCAACATCAACAGTTATTTATTGCATATTTTGATGGAGTCAGCTAAATATTTTTGAAATAATGTTGAATTTCAGAATAGTTATGGCAACAGCCAGGTTCAGGCACGTGCAATCGCAGCCCTGATATCAGGGGACAAGGCATCTTTCTACAACTGCAGTTTCATAGGAATTCAGGATACAGTCAGTGACCTCTCTGGACGACACTATTTCAAAGACTGTTACATTGAGGGTGCTGTTGATTTCATCTTTGGTATAGGGCAGTCTATATATGAGGTAAATGATTTGCCAATAATTCTTCTTAGCATAATGAGCTCAAATTTGTATCAGCACCGAACGTTTACCTGAAATGCAAAAAATCTATGGTGTTTCTCTGCCCTGAAATAGCCAAAAACACTACTCTTTTGAGGGCTAAAGTAGGAATATATTTTGACGAAAATCTACCATGGAGGCTTAATAGACTGAAATAATTGTAAAGGGCTAATGTGTGATAATATTATGTCAAGGGCTAATTAGAAATTTCGGGTAAACGTTGGCGGCAGATATGACCTTGAGTAATGATATTTTAATTTCTGATCTCTCTCAAGCACAACCAGTCTGCAAGTTAAACTGAGATGAATAGCATAATGCAGGGTTGCACATTGTCAACAGTCGCGAGCAAAGCCATTGCAGGTTGGGTTACTGCTCAAGGAAGAAATAAGCCAGATGATCCCAGTGGATTTGTCTTCAAAAATTGCAAGTTGATAGGAGCAGCCAAAACTTATTTGGGAAGAGCATGGGGACCTAACTCAAGGGTTATATTTTATCAGACTGATATGGCCAATATCGTTGTTCCTGAGGGTTGGGACTATTGGCGCGATTCTAACAAAGGGTGAGCTCAAAAGATATGTACATTATTTTTCACCTGAAAAAGTTTGCATAAAAGCTAATATATAATGAAATGTTTCAGGGTCAATACTGTCTTTGTTGAATCAGGGTGCACCGGACTAGGCTCAAGAACATCTGGCAGAGTGAAATGGGAGAAAACACTTAGCAATGAAGATCTTAAGAGACTCACTAGTATATCATTTATCGATGACGGGTGGCTCAGTCAACAAGCATGGTGAAACAGTCACTGATTTTTACGATATAAATTGCTTGTAACTCTGACATTATTAATATAAAGTTATTGACAGAGATTTTAGATGGAAAGGATGCAATATTGTTAGTCTAGTAATGTTTTACTCTAATTTTCTTTACCGTAAGTTTCTCATTAATTTCTTTCGACAGCATGTATTTTCTTGTGCTGTATTTATCAACTCTTAAATGGAATGTGGGGATACTTGTTATTTAGTTGAATATTATTAATATCCATTAAACAACCTGCAAATGGTTAATACCACCCTGATGCACTGTTTAAGACCTTATAGTTAATTTCCTATTACTTACCAGTACCTTTATGCAATCTTCTAAGGAATTTAATCTTGGCCATGACTTGATTCTGGAATATCCTCAAGTTAATTTCTGTCAAAGATAAACAGTATGAACTAGGAAAGTTCTTGATTACTTACAGAGCTTTTAAATTGACATCTTTCATTAGCTGTTACCAGTCAGGTTAACCTCAGACCTCACTGTTTCATTAAAAAGAGGATCTGTGAAAATGCTAAAATTCTTGGTAGCTTAAAGTTAACTAAATACAAATCAGCTAAATACATAAAAGAGTATTAATCTCAAAACTAACAAAGTGAAAAGCAGTAAGTTGGATAGCTTAACATAACCAAATTATAGAATAAGGATGTCAAGTAGATGAACAAGGAGAACGTAGTACGCAATTATCTGGTGATAGATTATTCTAAAAAAAAGTTAGAAGTGTTTTCTAATCATAAGACTTTCTTTTAACTATCTTTATCATAGCTTTTAACCTAAATTAGTTCATATAAATATTTTCTTTCAAAAAGAAAACAAATAAAAGTACTGGAATGTTTGTTATGATTTTACTTTGATTTTACCTTGTATACGTAGACACCTAAACACAGTTAAGCAAACACATAACTTTATAAGGGGATTTAATATGATTATTGCTTTACATGAAGTAGTTAACTCTTTCTACATATAACTAGGAATATATTAATTATGTGCACAAGTTGAAACTAATTCATCAGGATCATATATGGTGAAAACATTGAATATGCCGAGCAGAAGAAGCAATTTCATTCTCGTGCTCTCTATATGGTTATTTCCTACTCTTGGATATTTCGTATATTTGATATCTCTGGAAACCTTTCAAGTATGCATAACCACAAAGCTATCTGCTACTCACACTTGTATTTTTCCTTCAAAATGAGCAATCTTGTTTCCTTCTTCTTCTTCTTCCTCCTATCTTCAATCTTTTCCTTCTATGTTCCACTCGCCATAGGATCTCAGCCAATTGTAAAAACAATAACAATTGGTCCCAACGGTCAAAGTGATTTCACTACTGTTCAGGGCGCCATCAACTCCGTTCCTGATGGAAACAATCAATGGATTAGAATTCACATAAATCGCGGGATTTACATGTAATGGTCTTCTTATTATCACCTCCACTAATTCGTTTCCTCTGCGTTGGCTTAGCTTGTGTTGCTCCTTGTGCAGGGAGAGGGTCACCATACCTTACAATAAAGGTTATGCAATTCTAGAAGGAGAAGGACCCCATAGAACTTTCATTGAGTGGGGTGATCATCTCCCAGTTGAATCAAATATGACCTTGAGTGCGCATAACTCTTGGGATACTGCAACCTTCCTCTCACTCGCCGAGCAAGTCATACTCAGCAGAATCACTAGCTTTTAAGGTAATGCCCTCTTAATCTTTTCTTTCTTTTATTTGTTCCATAGTTTCATTAAATTGAAAGATGTGAGAAGTTAATACGTAGACCATACCAATCAATAGGCTGTCGAGAATGGGAAGAAGATGCCCACTAAAACGAGCTATAATCCATTTTCTTACGTTCCTTTAACAGGCGAGGGTATGGAAAAAAGCACCTCTTGTCTATTATTTGGTTACTATGCCAGCCAGGTCGGACTTGAGGAATTATCGCATAGTATGGTTACTTCAAGAAGATGAGAAACATTTATATCATGCTTAAGATATGATATTTTGATTTTAAGGGCATGCTTCAAACACCACAATACACATGTTAGGAAAGAATATATGTTAGGAAATAATATATATATATAGTATATATTTTATATGGATGTTTGGAAAGAATATATGTTAGGAAATAATATATATAGTATATTGTTTTCCCTGATTATTAGCCTGTGATTACAGGTTTGTACGCTATATATTGAACACTCTGTGAATAATAAGAAAATGACCTTTCATCCCAATTTTATCATGGTATCAGAGACTAAAATAAGATCCAAACCCTAAAATTCCCACCAACACCGACGAAGAAGAGCCGGACCAACCATCAGATCTAGCGGCTTCGCCTCCCTCCCCCTTCCTTCGTTTTTTTTTTCGGCCCACCCTCCACCATGTCTCAAACATCCAAAAACACCGACGAACCTGAATCCTCCACCAACGTGGTGGATAAACCCACCAAGGTGGATACTTCTTCACCATACTACCTCCATTCAAATGATTCTCCGGGTAGTTTGATCACTACCACTATTCTGGTTGGCTCTAATTATGAGGAATGGTCGAGATCTTTTCGGCTTTCTCTTGTTTCCCGACGTAAGTGGGGATTTATTGATGGCTCCATTGTTAAACCTGTTTCCGCTGCACAGATTCTTGACTGGGATTGTGTTCAGGCTATGCTGGTGCAATGGATTTTGAATAGTATTGATTCTTCCCTGCGGAAGACGATACCTTATTTTGAAGAAGCGCGTCCTCTGTGGGCGTTACTGAAGAAACGTTTTAATGTTGGCAATGGTCAGCGCAGACAGCAGATCAAGAAGGCGTTGTCTCGTTGTCGTCAGTCCAAGACTATGTCAGTTGCAGAATATTTTGGGATGTTGCAACCATTATGGGATGCTTTGGCTACTTACAATCCAGTCCCTGTTTGTCGTTGTGGGAAGTGTGAATGTGACTTGGGGGAATTATTTCAGGCTCGCTTTGATGAAGAATGTTTTCATGATTTTTTGGCTGGCATCAATGAAGAATTATACAGTAATGTACGATCTACTCTTCTTGCACAAGATCCTACACCTACTTTGGATAGAGCATATCAGGCAATGTTGGCTCAGGAGACATTGCGATTGGGGAATCGTGTTGATGCTGAACGTGATGAAGTTATGGCCATGGCTGTTCGTACTGCACCCTCAGGTAACCGTCGATCTGATTCGGGTGACAGATCTAAATTTGTGTGTACCTATTGCTCTAAATCAGGCCACGAGGAATCCCATTGCTTTGCAAAGAATGGGTATCCCGACTGGTGGCAGGCGGAGCGTGGGGCTGGTGCACAGCGCGGAGGTGGACGCGGACGCGGGACTGGGTTCGCGGCTGGATAGGGTCGTGGCAGCGCTGGCGGAGCTGCCAGGCTCGGTAGAGGGACAACGGCAGGCAGGGGCGCCGAGGTGCGTGCAGTGCAGGCGGGTTCGAATGTCTCTGGTGAATCCCCATTACCTGGTATGTCTACTGAACAGTGGCAACAGGTTATTGGAATTTTTTCCAAGGCCGTTGCTACTACTTCAGATGATCGCTTGATGGGTAAGTACTATGCTAATTCCTGGATTATCGATACTGGAGCTTCGAGTCATGTTACTGGAGATATGAGTTTATTATCTAATATTTGTGAGATGCCACCCTGTCCTGTTGGTCTGCCTGATGGCAAGAAGGCTATTTCCACTAGTTTTGGTTCAGTGCATTTTAAATGTGGATTGATTTTGAGTCGTGTGTTATTAGTACCTGAGTTCAACTGTAATTTAATTTCTGTGTCTCATTTGTCTGATGACTTGGATTGTTTGGTGCACTTCACAAAAACTCTTTGTGTTATACAGGACCGCAGCTTGAGGACCCTGATTGGAGTAGGTGAACGAAGAGATGGACTTTATTATCTGCGGGATGACTCAGGAGTGTATGCGCATACAGTTGATGGAGGTGATTTGGTGGATTTGTGGCATAGGCGTTTGGGGCATCCTTCAGAGAAAGTAGTCAGGTCGTTACCTTTTATTTATAGCACTAGTCAGTCTGCTAATAAAGCTTGTGGTGTGTGTCATCAAGCTAAACAGACTAGAGATAAATTTCCAGTTAGTGTGAATAAATCTAAGTGCATTTTTGAGATGTTACATTGCGATCTTTGGGGTCCCTATCATACTCAGTCGTCGTGTGGTGCTCGTTATTTTTTGACTATATTGGATGATTTTTCTCGTTCAGTGTGGGTGTTCCTTTTATTTGATAAGTCTGAAGTAACTCGATTTTTCAAATCATATTTTGCTATGATTGAAAGACAATTTGATGCTGTGGTAAAAATTGTTCGGAGTGATAACGGGACAGAATTTAATTGTATGAAGAAATTTTTTTTCGAAAAAGGGATTTTATTTCAATCATCGTGTGTTGGTACTCCTCAACAGAATGGGAGAGTAGAGAGGAAGCATCGTCACATTTTAAATATTGCTCGAGCACTTAGATTTCAGGCAAATCTACCTATTAGTTTCTGGGGAGAGTGTGTGTTGGCTGCTGTTTACCTTTTAAATCGTACCCCCACACCCTTGCTTGATGATAAAACTCCATATGAAATTTTGTTTGGCATGTCACCTAAGTATGATGAACTTCGTATATTTGGTTGTTTATGTTATACCCATAACCAGAGGTCTAAGGGTGATAAATTTCTGAGTAGGAGTCGAAAATGTGTTTTTGTTGGTTATCCTCATGGGCAGAAAGGGTGGAAGTTATATGATCTAGACACGCATGAATATTTTGTTTCGAGAGATGTGGATTTTTGTGAAACTAGTTTTCCATTTGCTGCTGAGTCGAGTACTTCTGTAAAGCATTCCTTGGTTTTTCCTAGTGTTCCTGAATTGGATGATCAGGAAATTAATTTTGAAGAACAGGGGGGACAGGATGGGGTTACTGTGTGTCCAGGCACGGTGCAACCACCGCCACCTGCACACGGCAGCAACCCACCCGAGGCAGGGGGTGGACGGTGATGGTTCAGCGGCATGACGGGGGTCCGAGTTGTTGGAGGGACCTTCGTTGTTGCCTTCGGATACTCTGGCTGAGCCTGTTTCTGAGTTAGCAGAGTCGAATACTGGTACTGAGGAGATTATTAATACTGAGGAGATTGGTAAGGGAAAAAGGAAGAAAGTGCCTTCGACTAAGCTTCGTGATTATGTGACTAATACAGTGTAGATAATAAGTCCAGTCTCCTTGCCACCTGCCTCAGTTAATACCTCACGTACTACTTTCCCTATAACCAGTTTTGTGAATTGTAATAAATTTTCTATAGGACATAGAAGTTTTCTTGCAGCCATAACTACAGGTACTGAGCCCAAGTCCTTTCGAGAGGCTATGGAGGATGCTGGATGGAGGGAAGCCATGCATAGCGAGATTCGCGCTCTGGAAGAGAATGGGACTTGGGAGATGGTTGCCTTACCCCCTGGAAAACGGGCTCTCGGGAGCAAATGGGTGTACAAGGTGAAATACAATTCAGATGGGAGCCTGGAACGTCTCAAGGCACGTTTGGTCATATTTGGGAATCACCAGATTGAAGGAATCGATTACACTGATACTTTTGCTCCTGTTGCTAAGATGACTACTGTTCGTACTTTCTTAGCTGTAGCAGCTGTAAAGAGATGGGAGTTGCATCAGATGGATGTACACAACGCATTCTTACATGGAGATTTAAATGAAGAGGTGTATATGAAATTGCCACCTGGATTTCATGGGCATGCTCCAGGGAAGGTGTGCAGACTGCGCAAATCTCTGTATGGTTTGAAGCAGGCACCTAGATGTTGGTTTGCAAAGCTAGCAGGAGCGTTGCGTACGTATGGTTTTACTCAGTCTTACTCAGACTATTCATTATTTGGTTATATCAAAGGGAAAGTACAGATTAATATTCTGGTATATGTTGATGATCTGATTATTTCTGGGAATGACTCGGTTGCACTGTCTGAATTTAAACAATATCTGAGTAAATGTTTTCATATGAAAGATTTGGGTATTCTCAAATATTTCTTGGGGGTAGAGGTTGCTCGAAGTGCAGAAGGGATTTATTTATGTCAACGTAAATATACTCTAGACATTATTTCTGAGACAGGACTTCTTGGAGCAAAGCCAGTTTCTTTTCCAATGGAGCAGAATCACAGGCTCAGCACTTCTGAGAGCGCGGACTTGGAGGATCCCGAGGCGTACCGTCGGCTGGTTGGACGGCTTATTTACCTGGCTTTTACTCGACCAGATCTGGCTTATTCTGTTCATATTTTGTCTCAGTTCCTTCAGGCACCAAAGCAGGATCACTATGATGCAGCACTCAGAGTGGTTCGCTATTTAAAGGGATGTCCTGGACAGGGGATTTTGCTTCGAAGTGATTGTAATTTGACACTTACTGGGTGGTGTGATTCTGATTGGGCAAGTTGTCCTATTACCAGACGTTCTCTGTCAGGATGGGTTGTCTTTCTGGGGAGTTCACCTATCTCCTGGAAGACAAAGAAGCAGGTTACTGTCTCTCGCTCTTCAGCTGAGGCAGAATATCGATCTATGGCTGCAGTATTATGTGAATTGAAGTGGCTCAAAGGCTTGTTACTCAGTCTAGGAATTCGACACCCTGGTCCTATGCCAGTACACTGTGACAGTCAGTCTGCTATTCATTTAGCTCAGAATCCTGTTTTTCATGAGCGTACTAAACATAT